AGAAAATGAAAAACAAACAACTCACCCCAAACAAAGAAACAAAAAAAACCCCGCAAACCCCAAGCCAAAGTAAATCTTGCACCGGCAGCAGCAAAACAACGGTCATGCTGCCCTGTTCAAAAAACAAGACTTGACACTACTGAAAGTAGGAAGCTGGGACGCGGCCCTCAGCCCGTCCCACCCCGCAGGCTGGCCGCCCTTTTAGGACGCTCCGTGGGGCCCCCTTGCAGCATCCCTTTTCTAGTTAGTGAACCTCAAAAACCTGCCTGAAGGTATCAGAGTGGGTGCCCGAGTGCAAACAGGAACCTGGATGTCTCAAATAGCATTGGTTCTGAAGAACCCTCGCTAGCCCTGTGCCCATAGTAGATGCAGGAGACGCATTTTTAACATCTTTGCAGATAAATTGATGATTACTGTTATTCTTCACCTTGATTTTTGGCCACCTGCTTCCAGGAACTTTGAAATTAGCGTACATATTTAAAGAGACAGTGTTAAGGATACACCCCACTCCTAAGTAATGTGCTTTGGTAACTCTTCCTATCATACCCTTAACTCCGCTCCTGCACTTCAGAAGTCCGTACGTGCTGTGGCCAGCAGGGGATGCCAAAATACCTCTGAGGGAAGGAAGAACGTAAACCGCATTTTCACTGGAAGGGCTGGAATCCTGAGAAGCAGCAAGAACCTGCCATCACCCAAAGGTGACAGGTTTCAGTCGTAATCTTCCGGCATATCTGATTTACAAGCAGTTAACTCCTCTCATCTCATCAGCAGTGAGTCCCAGATGTTTCAAATAAGAAGAAAGAAAATGCATGACGGCAGCTATACGATAATCATCGGATAAATTAAGTCTCTCGGTAGCCCCTGAAGATTTATGCTTTAGTCTGAAGTGTCACACACTTGTGTACGCACAAGTCAATATATGAGGTAGTAGGAGAAATATTTCAGGAGTCAGGTTTATGGAGACAGATAAATAAGTAGATTGTTATTGACTGTCTGGCATAAGGAGAAACGGTGGGATACTGAGAATAAAAAAAAAAAATTAAATTAGAGGTGAATTGTAGGAAACAGCATATCTGGGAGAAGACTAGAACATCTCTGCACAAATAATCTTCTTTCCTGTAAGAATGTACTTGGTTGTGATGAGCTCCAAGTGCAAGAGTTGGGAGTATTATTGGAAGTGAGAGGAGTTTTTGGAGGAAGAGTAACTGAAAGGAAAAAAGGGATGTAAACATAGAGATGAAATTTTTCTTTGAAGAATATGCATCATTTTCTAAACAATGACGAGTAATTAATCCAGGGCAGCAAGCAAGGATTTGAGAGAAGTAACTTGGATGAACGCGTCATTTCAGAAGCAGTAACTTTTAGAAGCAATTATGAAGAGGAGACACAGCTGCCCCCAGAAACGAAGCTGTTGCCCAAACCGGTAAGGCACAGAAAGAGGCCAGCATGTAACTTCATGGCATAAAGTCCTGGTCACACGTATCCCACGTCAGCTAAGCTTATCAAAGTTCTAGCTTGTACAATTTGACGTTTGGGGTAGCAGGAACAGAAAAAAAACCCTAAATCTAACACTGCAGTAATATTCAATCATAACAACAACAGACGATATTTACCAACCATCAAATACAAAAACTTCTCCTAGCTGTTAAGGGTTTACCGTACTTTAACACGAATTATTCCTTACCTGTAAAAGTCGAGATCTCTATCAGCCGTGTAACAATAATTCACCAAACCACCTCAGAGTTTATTTATCGTGCACTGCTAATGTTGTCAGGATTGGCTGCAGCAAGCCCTCCCCAGCAACCCCACAAAGCTTTGCAGAAATACTCGGCCACAATTTCACACTCTGCTGATCAAAGTCAGACCCACCAAACCCCCACCGTTCCCTTTCAAGGTCTCTCCCCTACCTTGCCTGAAGTACAGATGTTGTCCAGCCTACTTCTGCTAATTTAGAGATTGGGATTTTTGCCTTTACTAGTATTAGTGAAACGATGTTTCTCATCCAAATCTCTCATTTTTAATTTGTACGTCACTTCAAAGAGGACTCGATTCGTGTTTCCTGTCCCTTCAAGGCGGTTCTTCAGATCAGTATAACTCTGAGCACCACAGATGCCTGCCTGAATTCCACCCTGTTCACCCTCTCTTCCTCACTTCTCTTTTGGACTTACTTTTCCTGAAGAAGATACAGGTACCCCCCCCAAGACAGGACTCAAGTACCCACTTCAAGGATTTTTCAGGCGATTGCAGAGAAACTCGTTACCTTCCTTCCACCTCAATATCCAACAACCAGCCAGCTCACCTACCTCTTCACACCACCGCACGCAGGACAGGCTTTCTTCTCCATCTACAAATATTGATGGACCTCTGCGTGATACCATCACTCCGAATGTCCCAAGCCCCAAAGGGACAGTAAGTGGTGGTACAGAAACATGGGAATACACCTACAGGTTCCACAAGGCTGTCTACACCTTTGTGCTTGGTGCTACACCTGCATCGTACCTGTAACCACGCACATTCTGGGTAGCTGAGTTTTCAAATGCAGAAGGATTGTGCTCTTTGCAAGAGCCGGGTAGGGTAATCGCTGCTCTTTGCACTCATGGGGAAGACAGAGGATTGAAACAAATTTCAAGCAATCCTAGGGCAAAAACTGCAAAATGGGAGAAAGGTAAGCAGCGAGCAGGAGATTGCACTAACGACCTCAGCCTTCCCCAGTCATCCCTCACTGCCTTTTACCTGAAAATGGCACAAACCCCACGAAGATACTGTCCGTGACTAGCTCACAGGCAAGTAGTGTTTGTGTTATGGTTGCAAGCCTCCAGCAAAGCAGCTGACGGCACAGCCGATCTGTATCACAGCAAAAAATTGAAGAACTCTTAGGGCTGTTCAAACACACACAGCTAAGCATTTCAGTAAGAAGCGAAGCTACCAGGCTACAGCTGGAGCAGGTAGCTTGCCATGAGATACAGCTTGGCGTAAAGCTGCTTTTTTATTTCTTCTTTCTTAGAGAAAGAGAACCAAACCACCAACTCCCATATCATGTTTTGAAAACCCGACTAGGACTGAGGATTACTTTCAGGCAATGATGGTCATTTCTTTAGCTTCTGAAGAACCAGCTTTTAAATTCTTTACCAGCCACCAAAAAGTTAACACTGCCCTGAAGTGTTAAATTTTGTATAAATTTGCTGTGTCTTCATGCAGCTCAGCCATTTATTCCTACCTCTTAACCTTTCTGTTCGAATCATAGAATGGTGTAGGTTGGAAGGGACCTTGAAGATCACCTGGTTCCAACCCCCCTGCCATAGGCAGGGACACCTTCTGCTAGACCAGGTTGCTCAAAGCCCCATCCAACCTGGCCTTGAACACCTCCACGGATGGGGCATCCACAGCTTCTCTGGGCAATTTGTTCCAGTGCCTCACCACCCTCAAAATGAAAAACTTCTTCCTAATGTCTAATCTAAATCTACCCTCTTTCAGTTTGAAGCCATTCCCCCTCGTCCTGTCACTACACGCCCTTGTAAAAAGTCCCTCTCCAGCTTTCTTGTAGGCGCCCTTCAGATACTGGAAAGCTGCTATAAGGTCTCCCCGTTAGCCTTCTCTTCTCCAGGCTGAAAACCCCTTATAATTAGGGGTAAATGAATTAAATTAATTTACGTTTTCTCAGATACCCGTGCAATTAATGCATTTTAAGAAAATGTCTCGTAGTACAGAAAGGTTTTGGAAGGGGTTAGTATTTTGAAAGCTTAGACAAAACCCCAGGCCTCCCAAGAGATCTTCCTGAAGAACAGATATGGTGTACAGTAGAACACCTGGGTGCCCTAACACACACCAGCAGCTTAAATGCGAGAAAAACTTTTAAAATTATCTGAGGCAATAATGGGTTTCAAGGGAGGGGACAGCTTTAGAATAGCTCCTCTGTGAAATCTGTGATGTATTAAACTTTCTGGATTGTCTCAAGTACTGCACACTGAAACCAAACTATATCAAATTCCAAACCAGCTGCAGTTATTACAAGGCAAGGCTGCTTGAAAAAATGTGTATGCAGTAGGATTCCAGAAGATAATGACACACTTCACAAACTGCCTTTTAAAGGTGAAAATAAGATACTTGAGAAGCTGCCATGACTGCTCAAGTAGTCCATTAAAAAAAAAGAAAAAGGGAGGTACACTCATCAGTTTCAAACCCATATACATACTACAGGGGCTACATCTCACTTCTGTTAATCTGATTTTTAAACAGCAGTTGTCAATACCTTACAAAAATCTGTTTTCGTATAACGACAATGAAATTATTGAGCAGCTATTATACTCATATTTCAATAACAGACAACCGATTCATGTTTCTCAAACCATCCATTCCCATTTGTGGAACAACTACGGATGATTCTGAGCAGTGACTATACATACAGTAGGTGTTCACAAAACCAGGGATAGCAAGCGTATTCAATTTTATACTTTTAAAAATTTAAACCAAGAGTCACAATACAGCTCACTGCATTAGGAAAGAACAAATGCTTACCACACTCAACCCTTTTCCTGTTTTGAACACAAAACATGGAAGAATCATCCGAAATCAGCATTTCCTAGTGACTGCACGTGGGGAGGAGCACGACAACAAACCTGTCCACAACACGCGAACAGAGCTGTGGTTGGGGACAGGCAGAGCATGAGAGCGCTGTGGTTCATCTGGGAGGGGGTGGGGAACACAGCAATTGAGGAAATGTCGCCTGAAGCCTTTTTATGTGCCAACTTTTAGAAGGTTAATAATGACAAGTTACCTTAACCAAAATTATTTTTATTGGGTTCAATATTCAAGCATCATTAGGTTAAGGTCTTTTAGAAAAGTAAACCGATGAGAATAAAAAAAAACCAACCTTATGAATGGCTATTGGTACATGAAGTTTAATTTTAAATAAAATTTTATCAGGCTTGTGAAAACATGCCAAAAGCCAAATTGTGTTACCAGTTTAAAATTACTAGACAAGATATGAACAAAATACTCCATTTTCCAAAAGAGCAAATACAGGTTTAATGCTAGTCATCCAAAAATCGACATTAGTCTCTTAAGGCAAAAATAGTAGTTTTCTTTCATTTTTTAACCTACATTAAGTACAATCGGCAGCAGTTGCCATATAGAATATGCATCATTGAGATCTTTTAAAAGCAAGATCAGCAGAGAATGCTGACTCGTGCGTTATAAGATCTTCTCAACATACTGACAATTCCATAGCAATCTCTGAAAACGTATCTGGGTTAAGGACTGGATTAATGCTGCAGAGTGGTTTTGTTAAATGTGTGTATAATTTAATTCTCATGCGCCACAATCACATTTCTGTGTTATAGCCATGTAGCACAAATAACATTTCTTGCAGATCTAAGAGTGTGTCAATATACATTAAACCATAGAAAATGCCATAAAATACTCTATGCAAACTTTAAGCATTGATCTTCAATATAATTGTATTTACATATTTTTATGAACTTATAATATGTAATGAGCCACTGAAGACATTTTTACAATATTTATTAGATTATGAATTTATAAATTCAAGGACTCAGAGGCACATAGTTTAAAAGGCCAAGAACACCGAAACTAATGAAGTCACAGAAATCAGAATATTTGTGGACGTAACACCAGTAAAAAATAAAAATCACATCCAAACTAAAAGCAACACTTCTTAAGAGTCATCCTTCAAAGTCAGCATAATAAAAAGTTCTCATTTCCCTCAAAGAAAAATAATTCATCCCACCTACCAAGCTAGAAAAACCTATTTACAGTTGTACTTTGATCAGAAGTATCATTAAGTTGTGTAATACAGCCACTTCTATTCTGCCATTAGAATTTAACAATTCTTTTAAAGTATAGTTGTATTTACAAATGCATAAATACCGTAACTCTGATCTTCATTAAGATCTGAATGAAACCAGGTTGTTAAGTCACAATACAAACTGTTAGTGGAAAAAGTGTTTGGGGCAGCTGCATATTCAGTATCATTCTCAAAGAACAGGAAGCCAATACTTCTGATAAAGCCGAAGTTCATCAACTAGACCAGGTCTTTAAGTTACGTTAATGAAGATTAAACCTCCTCTGTGTTAATTCTTTACAGTTCTTCAGTCAACTTTCACCACGCTGTATATTTTGGTTACAAACCAAAAGCATGCAAAGAATCCAATTGTCCCTAAAAAAAGAAAGGAAAAAAAAAAAAAAGAAAGAAGTTACATGTTAGGAAAACTGACACAGGAGACATCAATTTCTGTCTGTAGCTCATAAATCAGGACATATGTATATACAATCTGCTACCGTTAGTCTTCAGTACATCCATCAGATCAGATAATGGAAAGTTACAGACGGTACCTGGTCTTTACAGGCATCAACTACTGTATAAAGTATCTCATTATTTTCGCAATCACAGAGCTGACGACATGGAAGACTCATTTTAAGATGTTCCTGTGTTACTCCTCTTCCTACATATTTGTACTTTGTTGTTTCATTATTCCCCAGTCCAACTCCTTCATATCGCTCCATTTCACCCCCTCCTCAGTGACCAGTCACACACACTTTACACGATGTGCTCAGCTAGTCAGAATATTGTTATTATATTTAATAAACCTATTAGACTGACAGCATCATAGGGAGTTTGCATGTCTTACTTATACTTTAAGGTCTTGGAAAATTAGAGTACTACCTTTATTTATGTGCAAGTTAATGGAAATTTCAAACCATAGCGTAGTTACTATGCAACTTGTACTTCTTGTTGAAAACGTGTTACACACCTTAAAAATAAGTCAAAAGATATAAGCAAACTTGAACTGACATTTAAGGAGAAAGACGGTTTCCCTGACAACTTATAATCCTTTTAGCTGAAGAAAAGTAGCTGCATCCTTTCTCTTTGTGAAACTCCAACAGAAGTTTTTAACAAAAATACTCTTTTGAATGCAAAGTAGTTAATATAGTTGGGCCTTGTTAATGTAACTGGATTACTTCAAAATGTAGCCACAGTAAGAACGACAATGGAGTTAACAGCAGCTCAGAACACCTGTTACAGGAACCTTCATTTCCCACAAAAACTAGGACAGGAAAAAATCCCTGAAAATTATCTGATTTTTGCCCAAGTACCTCTTTCTAAAATCATAGCCTTAACTTATGCAAGAACCAAGGAAGTCCTTGAAAGAAAAAAAAAAAAATCAACTTTATTTTAGATCTGATAAGAGGCATAAGGCAAGTTGTATGCTACCTCATTCACTATACAAGCTTGGAAGGAACCATGAATGATATTACGGTAATTTTTTTTTTCCCTTCACGCTTACTAAACTACTGATGTTTAACTGACTCATTTACTATGATACGTAGTTGCGGTCCCAGCTGTGAATCAAAGATTTGTCATGTAGCTCCCGGTATTTTGCCTGCTGAGTCTGATCAATGACCTGGAATGCAGTATGGATGCAAGCGCCTGAAGCATGCGTTACACTGACATAGCAGCAGGGCACCGTCAAAACCCTTCCTGATACTGACGATTTTTAACAGATGAGTAAGCAGCAGCAGAATAGTTTTGATGCAACAATTATGATCTTCTCTTTCTAGCTTCTTTATCATCCTGACACAGGAAGTCGGTTGCCTCTAGCAGCAGTTTTTGCTAAATTGCTAATATGCTTTTTCGTTGAAGAAACTGGAGAAGAACTAACTGCCTGTCCCTTCACCCAGCCTCTAACTTTTTCTGTAAAGCCTTATCTCAAAGCACTTTGGTAAACCTCAGAGAACTGAACATACCTGTCTTTGAATGCCTATCAACCTAAATGGACAAAATTATTCTTAAATCTTAAGAAATAGGACTATTCCCTCAAATCAAAGGATAATTTTATATAATCTTGTGGGAAGTAGATTTAAAAAAATCATTAACCATATGGTGTTTCAGAGTCTAACCGTTTGGTTAACTTCACATGTATTCTCCCCTAATTTCAATATAAAAACTGAAAATTTCAAAAAAAACGAAAAGCATACAAACTCTGAAAGCTTAGTTTAAGTTGCACAGCATAACTCTCAGCTTCACTGTCCCAATTATATACAAATGACTACCACAGAAATCATCTGCAGGGGTCTGAGTAAAACACCTCTTTTTTGCATGCTTGTGAACCTGCCCTGAAAAGGACACCCCAGGTTTGCTGGCAGGCACTGCACAGCCAACCGATCAACTGAAAATGAATGTGTGAGCAAAGGAAAAGGGGGATGCACCAGCCACATCCTAATGCCTCTAGACCATGCCATGTGACATGACTGACTTAAAAAGAGCAAGGGCAAAAGATGGGAATGATACCTTAGCTAAGCCAAGTCTCAGCATAGAAAATTTAGCCTAAATCCCCTTTATTTTGAATGTGTGCACTCCAGAATTACTGCATGCATCCAAAGTAAACAGACTGAACAAAGGAGACAGGGTAAACACAATTCTGGTTTTGGCTAAAACTGTTTACTATTAAAGGCAGACATGCTGAGTATCTGTTGGAAAAGCTAGTGAAACTAAATGAACTGACCTTACACGTATGTAAGGCCTAATTATTTTTTCATGCTACTTTGTAAGTTTGCACCACATTTAAAATTGATCTATATAAAGCAGTGCACATTCATTTCTAGTTGAACAAACATGCATTCCTAAATTCTGTAGCTCAATGAGACTATTAGTAAACCCAGAACAGAAATAAAGGATAAGAGAAAGGTATGGTGGGAAACAAAACGGAGTGAGAAAGGGAGGCAGAATCTCTGATCTACACATCCAGAATGACTTGCTAACTGGTACACAAAATATAAATAAAAGTAGAGGTGATGTGAGAATCACAAAATATCCGCAAGCAATGCTGAAACACATTAGACTGACTTAAAAAGAAGGATGGAAGATAAAACTAACCACTTTTGGAACACAGCTTGATCACTTTACAAAGAGATTATATAACGTACTTAAGTCCCATTCCCTCGTTCTAACAAGCAATGACCCAAAAAACTCCTTGCAGGCTCTTGCTCCTGTTCATCATCATCTGCATTCAGTCGTGGTGCACAAACAGCTCCAATATTTCCTAAGCTGAAGTGGTAATGTCTTTGAAATTAATATTCAGTTACACTTAAAATGAACACCATTCTCAAATGTCAGTTCTTTTCCCACTAGATTTTTTTTTGTTTTCCTATGTTAAGTGGAAATGAAAAATCTACTTATAGTTATAGTGAGATCCGTATTAAAAGCTCCTATGACAAGCCATTTGTGTTCTATGAGGCCTCAAAATATAGCCTGTATGGCTGTATACATACATACATATCAAAGCCTTAGGAATCATTAAACTTCATCATGAAGGTGGAGCTTGAAATTATTTAAAGCATCAATCAGTTCCAAATAGTTTTGAAAATATTGCACTGTGAAGTCCACAAAGACGGATTACATTCTGCTGGAACAGAATTTAGCATTTTTAAGATTTTTGAGGAGTTGGCAGTTGCTGCCTTCTTGCATGAGAGTTTGAAAGGAGAATTCTTGCATTTTCACTGCCACTCTTCCACCCCAAACAAAGGGTATGTGTTTCTGACTGAAGATTCCCTCTTAGTACTGAAGATGACAGGTAGATTCAAAATTCAAAATTAAAGTTCCATATACTTACCTGTAAAAAGGAAGAAGATCAAAACCATAATCATGGTATAACCAAAATATAAAATAGTGCTAGCTGTTCCTGTGATTTGCAGTTTGGAAAAAAAATAATGTATTGCATATATTAGGAAATAAACTGCAGTGAAACCACTAGTGAGAAATGAACGCCACTGCCAGTGATAGTCCTAGAAGGGTGGGAAAAAAAAACCATATGAGTAATATTCCATACACCACTAATGCACTGACCCTATTACTGAATGCAGAGCTACTTTTTCTATTATCACTTTATCCAAAGTGAGTTTTTAGTGTTTTTATCTACAGAAAAGAGAACTATATATAATCAATACTGCTTTAGCTATACCATTCACAATTAGAGATAAGAAACCTGAAGGTCAATATCAAATAGGCAAAAAATCTAAAAACCCAAATAAGCCAGGCTTGCTATTGCCAGCCATCGAGATCTTTTTCCCCAAAGCTGGACATGTCCAGAATGCACTTTGATTAACAAAGTTAATGGATTAGTTTGGTGTCTTCAGCAAATGGGAAGTTAGAATCTAAAGATGAGATATCTGACTTAGCAGTACTCAGTGCAGTGTTTTAATATTTGTTACACGTTTGGCCAAAAGTAGACTACTTCATTTTTAAAGACATGGTTTAAGTACATCTCATCTAGTAGTAGTGCTTATGCTGAATTCTGGAATACTTATTTTCAATTACAAAAGCCTTAAAATTTTTTGGAAGCATTCTTAAAACAGTATCAAGAATGAATACTGAAAAATATTTCTTACCTCTGCACATAGATGGAAGTAGCAGAGCAATATTGTAGCCTCAGAACATGTAATAACCAAAATAATGAATACCAGAAACAGGAAGCCAAACATGTAATACATTTGGTGAGACCTATAAAAGGGAGTTTAAAAGAAATAAAAATTAAAATGGACACAGTGCTAATATTATTTCTTCATATGCAGTAACGTCACTTTCACCTTAAGTATTACCCTTCCTATTGAAGTAGTCAGTTGTGTGGCCATACAGTTGTGTGGTTAATTTATTTTCTAACTGAAGAATAGGAGCCTCAGCAGCAGAGTCTGAAAACAGTGAGAAAGCAAGGCCAAAGTATGCTCCTGGTTGACATTTTAGGGAAAGAACTGACTAGACATAATGAGTGAAACTGCAGTTCCAGTGAAGTCAGCGTGACCTCTTCCACTGACTTCAGCAGAACTTGGATTTCACCTCACATTTCAATCAAAGGGGCAGAGCTGCAAAATAACAAGAAGTGTCAAATGCTGTAGCTGTCTACATTGGGTAAAGGCACCTATTCAAGGTTCAGAAACAGTTTAACAAGATCCAATAACTAAATTGTGCCAGAAGGAAGACAAATCCCTCACACTAGATTAGTTTGTCAGTGTGCTATGAGCTCTCATCAGAATTCACTTATACTGGACTAGTCTTGGGTGCTTTATTTTTTAAAAGAATTACGCTCTGGTGCCTTTATAAAGATTTCACAAGATTTGTTCTTGATTCATTTTTCTCCCAAGAGTAGTAATAGTTTTCTAGCCCAACAACAATCACAACAACAAAAATCTCCAGTCAATTTTAATATACTTACTACTTTCAAGTTATATGCTGTATGTCAGCTTCAGAGCCACTTCCACGTGAACTCAGAGGAGTCGCACGAGAAAACTATCTATTTGAATATTGTAGGTCAGCTGTAAATTGCTAAGCATATCACAGCCACTTCTCTACACACCTCAACAAGCAAGACAGGCACCAAGTATATTCTAAACCACAAAATGTTAAAAAGATATTAATATTTACATTTTTATTGAAGCCTGCATCACCAAAAAAAAAAAAATCAGTCAAATCAGTCAAAAATCAGTCAAAGAAATTACCACTTTTTATGGCACAGAAAATTCAAATAGATTGTGGTTAACTTACCAAATACTATTCAGAATAAAGAACAACTGTATAAAGATACATCCAAAAGGTAGAATCCCTCCCATGATAATGCCAGGTAATGGCTTTGTATAGAATGATTGCTCAGGAATCTGACGAGGAATTTGATTTGTGCGAACAGGGTGTTCAATAGCCTTTAAATGAAAGTAAGAAATTGTTCAATAAAACGTCAAACTGCAGCACTACCTTTTTGCTTTCTCTTTGAAATGAGCGGTGGCAAAAATCTACTATTTGTTTTGAGCATGTGCATACCCAGCTACCAATACATCTGCTTTCACTACCAGCCTACCTAACAAAATTTACTAGGCAAACAAGCTAAAAGACAGCTGTTATTGAAAACATAGCAACAGGTATTTTGGACTTCCCTTTTTATGATTACCTCTATGTGATCTGTTATAGAGCCTGAGCTGATTTCTCACTTTTCAGTTGAGGGGTAGTGGCGGTGCAGATTCTTGCTTTCCCCTTCTAAAAATCCCTGTATGTTTTTTTTTCAGGATTCACTCCAAGAATCACATTAGGGTAAACCTACAAACTGAGAGGATTCAATCTGGCAACTAAATCCTAACTGAATATTGCATACATAGATGTCCTGGTTTGAGGTAAAGCAGAACCAACAGATACACATGGTGTGAGAAAAAAAAAATTCAGGCAGATAAATGCATAGTTTGCCATCTTTCCCCTTTGGTAAAGATTACACCAAGAGCGTCAATAGATCCTTGCTAAGTACTTGCTTTCTTATTTGATTTTAACATATTAGCGACACCTGTCACATTGCCTTATAGTTTATCAAATCCTGCTTTCTGAAAGGAACTGTCTCTGTACAATGCAGGGGGGCTTGCTGGAATTTCAACATGGTTATCAGAAAAAAAACACTGAATTCTGGTTAAGAAAAAAGGGATAACTACAATCAACTTTAAGAGTGCCTCCTAAGACACTTACATATTCTCTGAAGGTATTGCATGAGAGCTACAGAGAGCTGTAATTCTGGCTTCCTATACAGGACAAAATACAAAAATATCTGAACTTACAGATCTTAAAGTTTGTGGGGCACAGTAAACCACTTTAGAGGCAAAAAGAGAAGAACCAATTTAAGAAGGTTCAGTCACCAATGTCACAAAGAGCCCTGATATAAATAAGTAAAATTGATCAGTTTAGGAGTAAATCCCAATTAATGTCTGCCAAGCAGTGACAACTATTTACAGAACATTTATGCAAAGAGACTTCACAAGAATTCTAGCGTTTCATATTCTCAGTGTAAAGGGTAGACAGCAACAAAAAATGGGGGAAAACCAGAAGTGTGTAAGTTGCTTTCCCTTATGCTTGACTGGGTCAAATAATTATTTTTTTTTTGTAATGAAAGACATGTTAATTAAAATAAAAATGCCCAAATCACTGCTTTATCCAGAGCAGTCACCCAAATACAATGACGGCCCTAATCGTTGCGGAGAAATATCACCACCAACGACTAACAATATTAAAGTCTTGGAATCCCAAAATTGGCTATCTAATGCAGCTTTACAGTAACTGAACAGAACCACAGCTGACAATGCAACTGGCTTCGGTGCTACCTCAGTCATAGTCTATACAGTGAAAAATATATATATGTGTATTCATACACTTACAAAACAATTTCTCAAAAACACTTACGTTTTTCTTAAAACCAAAATAGGCACCAATAAACGTCAGCGGTACAGATATGCAAAACCAGAGTGCCAAAATAGCAACCAAAGTACCAAACGGAATAGCTGCTGAAGAGCCTTCTCCCCAGAGAATGAGGTTCATGATAAAAAAATCTGCAAACACAATTCTGAAAAATACATAACACACTTAAAGCACAGAAATAGTCCTTAATATTCAATGTTAACAAAACAATAGCACTGTATTGAGATTTTAGTGTAAATCTGTTACACCCAAATCACACACACAAAACAGCAAAATGAAGGGGTCAAACAAGCAATTCTTTGTTAATCTAGTGGGATTGAACTCCAGCAGGAGCTGACGTTCCAACTAAGCAATTTCAAATATATGGTTGTCTTAACTACACTTCAGGGTAAGACTGCTTGCTGTGATTAAGTAGAGAAATTTATCACAGTGGTTATACAGTATATGACACTATATAAGACCAACTACAGTGTGGTCAGAGAAACAGCCTAGAGAGTAAAAGAAAGCAATGAAAAAGCGTGCCTGTCTAAAACTTACTACTATCATAACGCTCTTTCTTAATCAACCTTTTCATGTAGTGAGAATAGAACAAATGCTTACTAAAAAAAATAATCTAAGGATGATATGCCATTAACATATTCATCTTTGTCCAAAGCACTGTGATATTCTTGTAGCTTCTGGAATAAAGGGACAAAGTAATAAGATTTACTTGTATAGCTGAAACTTAAAAATTAGCTATGCATGTCAGAGAAGCAATTTAATTCTTTTAATCGTGGCAATACTCTCAACTTACCCAGGACAAAGGAATGATGTCAGCAGGACATTTGTTTTCCATTTTTCACCTCCAAATGCTGTATTAAAACATTTGACAGTCATCAAAACATGCATTAAGCTCACAACTATTAATTTTCCAGTTCATTTACCTGTTATACTTAGCTTGAAAATACTCAAATAATGTGCTATCATGCCCAAGTTTAAAACGGTAAACTAAATCTTAAATAATAAAACTGAATTCCCTCATCATATTGCTTAATCACAGAGCTTCAAAGCAAAGAAAAGCCTCAGACCAAGGTCAGGAAAAGTATCCAACTAAATAAACTGGGTCTCTGACCACTTTATCTGCTACAAGGAGGAAGCAGATTTGCAGCACTTTTAAGTCTTTAAAACACAGTTTAAACCTGGAGTGATTAAGAAGTTTAAGCTTTCTAGCATTTGACTGCAGGTTTCAGTAGGAAAAAATACATAAATATGTGAAAAGCAAGCTTAACAGTTTTCTTGAAATAATTCTTGTCTACGAATCTTACAGAAAGTCAGGACTAACATGCTTACAGCAAGCAGTGATGTTCTCTTGAACAGCATTAAGCAGTGGTGATACCAAAAGACCAAAGACAGCTTTATTAAGAAAAAAATTTGCACTACACTGATAAAAATTCTAGTCAGCACACTTTCAAATGAAAATATCCAGATGGAATTCAGTGAAGCTGACAGTTTCATCAGAGCACTGCCATAATGACATGCTTCTTTACTTCGAGAGTCAGAAATGATTATAGCTAGAGTGATTTTAATTAAGTTCCTATTTCTTCATAAAATCTTTGTAGAACATGGCACCAGTTATTAAGATTAACCATTTAATTTCAGCTCAGGCTTCACTCTTTAAATGCAACGTTGAATAAAAACCCCCAACTTTTAAAACTGGATATCCATTTCAGTTGCATTTTGGTTTATGTCTCACATTACTTTATTTGAATACTATAAGGCTAAACATTCATGTTTACACGCTCTATACAGGGTACAGACCACCTCATGTTATAACAGTATCATCTCTGATCAGTCACTCACTGTCTTAGTAGTTAAACACAATATTCAAGTATCAACTAAATGATTCCCAATAAGTATAATATGAAATGTAATTATTATTAGCTACATCTCCACCAAAGGTACAGGATTCAATTTACCATCAATACACTTCAAAATATCCTTCAATACAATTATGCTCTTAGTCCTAAAGTCTCGCTCCATTTAAGTCTAATTGGCTTGAAGATTAGGAAAAATAATGGTTCGCTATCACATCACTACCATTGTGGAAAACCTCCTTACAAAATATAAGCCTTCCTTCCCCAAAGGTTCTCCCCAAATGAAAATTACAAAACGGTTAGAAGAAAGAACTCCAATGCCTACTGCCAGGCTGAAGTTCAGAAATAAACTCCTTCTCTAGCCCTGAATTAAAATAGTCCAAAGGATCCAGCTCACTCAGTCACAAAGAGTCATTTACCTTGAGTAAGGTAAATAAAAAAGCTGTATGTGGAATGGCATGCTTCACCTTAAAATAAACCAGAGGGTACAGCAGCAAACAATTTGAGGTTAGTAGGCAGGCCTTGAAACAATAGCTAGCTGGGATCAGTGAAGGAAAACAGTATCAACTAACTACTGTCAGGTGCCCAAACACCACTGGGTTGATTTCTACAACTACAGACCACCTAATAATCCTTCCCCCTGCACCTCTGCCACAGTCTGAAAAGCTCCATTCTCCCAAAAGCCTAGGAACTAGATAAAAAGAGGTGACAAATCTCAGGCATGCAGTAACAAAGATTCAGGATTTGGGGGGGG